TATCTCTCACTCGTTCGCTTCGGTCGCTCGTGAGAGATACCTTCAGCACTCGAAGATAAAATTTGTTTCTCAGATGTATCCCTGCGCGGCCATGTAATATCCTCTATATATCTACCGTTTAAAAACTAAAATACGTTTAACAATGCTATGTTTAAGTGGTTTTGAACTATAATCACGTTAGGTGCCCCTGATTGTATGCAACATGATGAACATGATAGCACATGTTTCACGATTGAAAGAGGTAACTTTAAGGGTGGGGTTAAAAACAGTCAGATTATTGTTGGGAAAAACTGGGGAAGTCTTGTCCTGATAGAGTTAACTTCAGTTTTAATAAGTAGTAGAATTGATGCACATAAATATCGACTAATATCAATAAGCTCATGGCTCTTGACACTTTGTAATAAAAGACGAATCATCGTAGAAGTCCAATGTTCAACCAAAGTCAGTTATTGAAGTATACCGGTGCTCGTATTATATCTAAACTTTATAAACAACTAAAAATTCGACACATTAAAGGCCGGTATGCAAATCCCGGATTGTGCCTAAACATAGACTATCCTATTGGCTACAACTGACGAACAAATCTAGAACCTTAACTTTCTAACCTGACTGGATTTCCACTGCTTAACGTTTTCTTGTTTATAAATTCCACGATCACCTCTGTCTGCCCAATGTTTTCATCAAGAATTGGTGAAGGCTTCACAGGGTCTGCAAAAGAAAAGACAAATGTTTAACAAAACGATATGATTAACCCTCTGGTAAAAATAACGGAAAATATCAACTTTCTTCCCGTAAAATCCTGCGAAATAAGTAGGGCCATCCAAAAATTCGGCCAGAGAGTTTCATTTAAATGGTAACGCCATAGGATTTCATTCAGACTCAAAACTTAAAACTAGAACTGCATACTAAACAAATAGCACCATGTGAAAGTACCTCTGAAGAGGTTTCACTTGAATGTTCACACCGTAAGATTTCATCAACAGATTCAAGAGTTAGACTACATTATAAACAATATATAGTTTCATGTAAAAGCACTACTGAAGAGGTCCCGTTTAAATAGTAATTCCATAGGATATCATCCCCAGATTTATTTATTTGTGTAACAAAGAGTCTTGCTACAACATGTCCAGGGGCCTAAAGACACATGAACTCGAATTCGGGTATTTTGGAAACCGCATTTTGGTCAATCCAGATTCGTGTAGACGAGGCCCTGTACGATCACATAATACCAGGTTTTATAGACTCTGTTCTCACCTTTTGTTTGCCATCATAACTTCACTTGATGGACTGTCTCCTGTCGACGTCACAGCAAAAATCCAAAATGAATACTCAGCAGATTGCCTAAGTCCATTAATTTACAAAGTTTGCGAATTCAAAAATACCCTGTTACGCTTGGACGTTATTGCCCCCGCAGGGATTTCGCCCAGAAGGCGAAATCCCGAGGAGGCACTCTAGTAACTCGCGCGTATATTAAGGAAAGTACTTACAGTTGAAATATACAGTCAGTATGCCAGAAAAATCTCGATTTGCTTGAACATGGGGCCGCGAGGAATCGGTAGGTAATGATGACGTTTCTATTGTTTGCGTCGCAAGTACGAAATGGTTAGGATCATGACGTAAAGACAGAAAATGCCGAAGGGACCGCTTTGCGTTACGTGTCATCAGTGACATCCTGTGGAGCAGTTGTTTTGAAAGTTATGGACCAAAGGACACTCGTTAAGCGCAGATGAAGTTATAAACAGTGTTATAAGGTGCGTATAACTGTGTTTATAAACACTTGGAGAGTTTGCCAGACACGGGTTCACAAATCTTTGATTATAAACCTCTCCAGACACTCTTTCTCTCTCTTTGACCGGAATAAGACAGCCGCCCCAGACAAGCAAGACGAGTGAACAACGGCTAGCTTATCACTAGCAGAACGATGGACGATTGCAGAAATTCGCCGATCATCAAATTCTGTGCTCTCATATTCTCTGCTCACAGATGTCCTTCCGCAATAACAAAAGTTTAAAATAAGACTAGAATGCGCGAGCGTGAATTCATCAAACGCCCTTTTAATTTCTAAAGCTTACTTTCCGGCAAATAAAATGAACTGAATGTAAAAAGTGAAAGAGAAATAGCGAAAAATTCAACTTCTAATTAAATATTTTCTTATGGTTTAGAATAGGCTATTCTCGAAACTGAGAATGTTTTGATCAAAGCTGCGTAAATCGAGCTGAAACTGTGCATGGAACCTTGCGTTTCCTGTTTGTATGGAATATGTGTGAAAATCATCATTGTGAATCTGTATATTTCAAAAAGCTACACAACGAGCAAGAATGCTATTAACCGACAATATACAGAACGGGGGCAGCTGTAGTGTCAACTATTACTAGTCTTAATAGATACTACGCTTTCTTTATATGCAAAGAGACTTTGCATAATAACTTGCGTGACCAATGGGATCGACATCATTCGTACCTGACTCATTAGACATGGCTCTGTACGTTGCTTTAAACCCTGAATACTGCTTGCTTAGAGACGTGAATATGACTTGAACGGAATTCCCTACCGAATACACTGGATGAGGAAGAGACTGACCGCAAAGCATGAATGGACGATAATTGTTATTTGTAGCAACGTTTGTGATTGTAACACGTGCCCCTGGAGCACCATAATAGCAAGGAATATGCAGATATGTTAGTGGCTCCAGCTGAAAGTGCAAGAAAGTAAGTTTAATGAAGTACCCGCTGGGAACTGTGATATTCCATGCACATCTGCTGTATTGAGGGTAGTTATTTGGAAAATTAGGGCTTGCAATGAATCCAGCTAATCCATGAAGATTTGTTCCATTGGCACAATCTGCAACAGCAGTTAAATATCATTTGGCTTTAATAAGAGAGTGTATTGACTCTAAAAAGAACAAAAAAATATACAAACAAGCAAACAAACAGGCGAACAAAATGAGACTCAACCTTTTAAAGCGGTTTTTCCGGCTGATAATTGAAATACAAAAATTTCAAATTGTTTTTGTTACCAATCATTTTTAATTAAGAACGTATAATACCACCAACAACTCAGTCAACAAGTTATTGATATTTGTGTGTCGCTTTAGTTACAGCGGCTGGTAATCGAGCCTATTTAGTTACGTGTTTGACTTTAAACGTTGCCTTTAGTCTAAAATAGTGCAATAACATATTTTCTTGGCAAATGGAAGTTCATCGCTTGATCACCTACAGAAGCACCATCCTCCTGGAGTTACAAACTTACCGGTAGTTACCGCATCATATTTCGCTTTCATGTAAGTTGCTTTAAATCCACCGTACAACGAGGAAGTGCGACTATCAGAAACAAACGTGACTCTTAGGACATCTTTTGTCGAATAGTATACTATCCCACGGTCTTTAAAGAATCCACATCTTCGCCTTCCTGAGAAGCCATCAGAGGATGAACCATTTTGTATTTGCAGATAGTCACACGTGCAAGATGAACCACATCCCCAAATAAATATGTCTTCAATGACCAACACAATGCGTTCTCCGTTACTTGCTGTAATTTTCCAACTACAATTCGCACTGGAAGGATAGGTCCTTGGATAGTAAGGACTAGTTAGAACTCCTGATGTCTCATTCAGAGTTGCCATATTGGGACACACTGCAGGCAATATAAATGAACTGAACATAAGTGTTGAAAACCAGCACATCAATAAGCCTCTTAAGGAAGAAACTAGGTAACATAAGAAGGACTTAGATCAAAACCAATTGCAGAACGGAAGGACTAAATAATTTTGAAATACGCCCGAGGCTCTTTATTTATCTGGAAATTCTTAGGTTGACCATTGATCGAGATTGATGTGTCCGCAAGTCAACTGAAAATGGCTGTCGTCTTACGATGTGTTTAATTGTCCGTTCTCTGACTTAAAAGAAACTGTTGGAAGGCCTTGGGCGCCTGTGCTTACTCTGGCGGGAAGGATGGTCTTGTCAGTACGCTGCAAAAGGTTCATGCTCTCTTTAATCGTTACGGAAGCCAATTTGAACAACAGCTACATTTAGAAAAATAATCTGCAGACGTTAAGGGGGTCTTTGAAGGGCAGATCAAATCGTTCGCTTCGGCTCAAAAAAATAAGACCCATGTAGAACCTCGATTCAGCAAGTATTCAAGCAAGTAACAGGAATTACTTATACGAATTTCGACAAAATCGTAACCTTCGCTACGCGAGGGCCTCGGACAATATTGTAATTTTTAAACGATTTAAATAAAGACGCGGTTTAGACACTAAAAATGCCTTGAATCTGGGGTAAAAAAGTACCGGCATGCACAGCAAGTACAGCTAGCCTTATTTAAGGCCCAGTTCACACGTAACCGGATATTTTTGAATCCGTTAAGTCCGGATAATTTTTCTCTAGAGACGTAAGAAGATCCAGCCCGTTAAATCCAGCATACAAATCCGCAACCTTTTTCATCCGCTCTCCAGAGTGGAAATTTTTGAATACGCTATGAATGCGGAATCGTGTGGACGCTAAACCTGGACGTTTTTTTAATCAAGTGACGTAACAAGATCCAGCCCAGTTCTTTACAATGAATATTCAAAATGGTGCTGAGCGCAATGTTATCGCTTCTTTATTTCTTGCACTTCAGTTTCAAGTCCTATAACGTGTGTGCAGTTAACCCTAGCTGTGATTACCGTACAATTCAATTATGCCAAACGGCGTCTCGGAATTCTAAGGCGTGTTTCTGTGTCGGAAGGAAGAATTGGACGATGTAAACAAGTTAAACTAGCGAAGTAGTGCTTGATGGGACATTTCTGTTAGCGGAAAAGGTTTTGAAGAAGAATGGTGAGAAAATTTTCGCATGGGCCGAAGATCGCTTTACAAATTAGCTGACCAACTGGGAATGAATTTGGATTCGTGTTGAAGGGCAAATTCGATTTCAATACGCTGCACTTAAAGGTGGAAGTTTTTAAATCCGAAGTTGAAAGTTTGCCAATTCAAAAATACCCGGATGCGTGTGCACGTTGCCTTACTAATTACTATGTTTTCATTATATGCCAAGAGGCTTTGTATGATAACTTGCATGACCAATGAGATTGACATCAATCGTACCTGACTCATAAGTGATGGCTCTGTAAGTTGCATTAAACCCTGAATACTGCTTGCTTAGAGACGTGAATATGAGTTGCACGGAATTCTTTACCGAGTACACTGGATGAGGAACAGACTGACCGCAAAGCATGAATGGACGATAATTGTTACTTGTAGCAACGTTTGTGATTGTAACACGCGCCCCTGGAGCATCATTACAGCAAGAACTGATGTGAGCTGGTTCCAGCTGAAAGTAGAGGAAGCTAAGTTTAACGATGTATCCGTTGGGAACTGTGATATTCCATGCACACCTACTGTATTGAGGGTAGTTATTTGGAAAATTGGGGCTTGCAATGAATCCAGCTAATCCATGAAGATTTGGTTCAGTGGTACAACCTGAAACAACAGTTTTGAAATTTGGCTTAAAGGTACGAATTCAAAGAGTAATCTGTCTCTCAACCTAGGTCAGTAAAGTTCAATTGACACTAAAAGGCACCAAAAAAAACGTAGAAACCAACAAACAAACTAGTACATTGCTTGCCAAAATTTTCGGAGGTTAAAATTTCGGACGTTTAATTTTCGGTCACTTTTTACGATTTCGGACATATTTCGGACCAAAATTTCGGACACTGCGCTGAAACACGGCGTAAGTAGATTTACGCCAATAAAACATGAATATAGACTGAAACAACATCTGTGAAATTGATAATTTTATTGCACCCTCAAGGTTTTAGCGATGCACCGTCCGCCGGGAAAATAACACAAATTCTATCAAGTCGTAATCTCAAGCTGTTTCAACTAGAGTTCGCTCCAAAAAGGAAACTTTTAAAGGACTTTGGAGCTTACAGTGGCTAAATGATCTGCGACAAAGGATCCTCTGGTTCTAGTTCCTTAGTGGCAGCTTGCCTGTCATCTCAAAACCCTTCCTCATTACTTCGGGTTTGTTTCGGAGGTGGTTCCTACAAGCCAACAAGCCAGAGGGCGTGAATCGGCGTTATTACAGATAACTTAGTGTTGACATCAATATAGTATACATCAATATCTTTGTCGACTTGCTTTGCGATTTCTCTTGCGTACCACAAAAATTGCTTTGCGGGACCATCTACTATCAAGTCGAGCGGCTGGAAATAGTTGGTCATATTGGCAGGAACGAAAACGCAAACGCAGCAAGGCGTAAACGATGGTAAAACTTGCCAATTTCGAGAACTTAGAATTATTTAACCTTTAAACACAAATGGAAATTTTCTTCAAGCACCCAATTGCTAGTCTAGGTTGGCATGTTTATTGTAAAACTGCCTGGACAATTCCAAAGAAAGGTCGAAGATTGTATGCCCAGAAAGAACGAGATGCAGACGCACTTCTTGTTGATCAGTAGGCTGTCGCCTGGATAAAAGGGAGTTTAAGATACGGCGACTATGGACTACGACTACGGTTAAACGTGCTACTGCGCATGATCAAAACCACGTGGCTGTTCATTTTTCCCGCGTAGTCCTGCGGCTACGGGGAGTTGTTGAGCTGTTTCGCGTAGTCGGGACTACGGAGAACATTTTGCTCGTATTTTGCCGTCTCGGTAATTCAAGAATCTCGTCTTTTCATAGAAACGTTTTTAATTCACCTGGAAAGGGAAGCGAAATATGTAAGTTGTGTCGAATTTCTGCTCAGATTTACGCTTTTAATCCTCTGTTGTGACTACATTTTTATCTAGGTAAGCTCATATTTAACTGCGCTTAGCTGTTTATACGCAGAATTCAGATTGACGGCCGAGGAGAAGAGAAATCATGCAGGTAATTTACTTTCTCTTCGCACTTGAAAAGTTTCTCAATGTTTGGTTCGAACTGATTAGTGTGTCTTTCTACTTGGGTAACCTTTGTTTATGCGGGTTTTGTATCGCATTTTCTGAATGAAAATGACGTAAACATCTTCGAGACGATCGAAACTCGGCATTTCAATACTTCAAACTACATCAGATCAGTAGTAGGAGAAGTCCATCTTCTAAATCTAATAAATGAGCTATTACAATTTCTGTCCATTACTTTAATATTTGACATAAGTATTCATGGGCGAAAAAAATAACACCTGTGTAACCAAAACTTTGTTCACCAATTTCACCCGACGTAATTGCTTCCTTCAAGTATGGAAGAATTTGTTCATTGTTCTAAAGATAAGATCACATGCAAAACTGACTTGCATTTTTGTGAACTGTGATGAAAACAAGAAAATCTTTGCGTGTTGTTTCCCTCTCCGCCTCTTCTCTCGTAGTCTACTGTCAGTAGTGCAATCTTAACGTTCTATATTTGCACGACTCAACCCAGTGCTACAAACAAAGGAGAACTCTCGTCCAGCCGTAGTTCGTAGTCCGTAGTCTCCGTACCTTAAACTCCCTAATGAAGAGCAATGTTGTTGGCCATGTTCCACAAGAAATATCACGTTTTGTGTACTTTTTTCTACATCACGGGGGTAGCATCGATGCAGTGGTTGAGGATGAAAAGTATAGGCCTTCTCCAATTGCAAAGGGAGGACTTGAGATAGTCCTCCGAGCCACGTTTCAAATTGACGATAGCAAGCGGTCTCTTCTTCACCGTCTGAAAGAACTTATTGAAAAGAGCTACGAGCTTCTTTACGAATCAGCTACAGATGAAGACGAATCAGTTGCTAGTGTCAATGGAGAGGATCTGTCAATTGTGTTCATGATTGATGATGAATCAGAAGAGGACTAGCACTGGCAATGCCACTGGGCTTGGCTCAAAATACTAACTTTTTATGCATGCAAAAAGACATTTGTTTATACATTGTTTTTTTTTGTAAAAGCAACAAAAGTTTCCCTTTCCAGTGACATAAAGAACTACTAAAGCCTAATCCGAGTTATAGCTAAGTATATCATGTATATTGGCCTTGAATACATGTGATGGCGTCGCCCAAGAAAGTACTTTAAAGTCTGTACTGTAAAAATTTCGGACGCTTAAAATTTCCGACGGTTTTATTTTTGGGCACTTTTTTGTCCGAAATTAAAATCGTCCGAAATTTTTTTCAAGTAATGTAAACAAAATAAGACTGAACTTTTTAAAGTGGTTTTTCCGGCAGAAGATTGAGATAAAAGAAAAACAAATTTCAAAGTAATTTTGTTATCAATCATTTTAAGAATATCATACCACCAACATCTCAATAGACAATTTATTGACATTTGTGTGTCGCTTTATAATGTGTTTGACTGTCCAAGTAGCCTTAAGTCCAAACTAGGGCAATAACATATATTTTTTTGCACATAGAAGTTCATCACCTGATCGCCTACACAAGCACCTTCCTCCTGGAGTTACATACTTACCGGTAGTTACCGCATCATATTTCACTTTAATGTAAGTTGCTCTAAATCCACGGTACCCAGAGGAAATGCGACTATCAGAAACAAACGTCACTCTCAGGACATCTTTTGTCGAATAGTATACTTTCCCACGGTTTTTATATCTACATCTTCGCCTGCCTGAGATGCCATCAGAGGATGAACCATTTTGTATCTGCAGATAGTCACACGTGCAAGATGAAGCACACTCCTGAATTTTTATGTCCTTAATGACCAACACAATGCGTTCTCCTTTACTTGCTGTAATTTTCCAACTACAATTCGTACTGATAGGATAAGTCCTTGGATAGTAAGGACTAGTTAGAACTCCTGATGTCTCATTCAGAGTTGTCATATTGGGACAAAATGCAGGCAATATAATGAACTGAACATAAGTATTCAAGGCCATTAGAATTATAAGCCTTTTAAGGAGAAAAAATAAGGAAACGTAGGGAGGAATTAGATCAAAACCACTTGCGGGACGATAGGACTAAATACCTTTGGGATACGCCCGAGGCTCTTTATTTATCTGGAAAATCTTACGGCTAACCATTTATCGAGATTGAAATGTCTGCAAGTCAACTAAGAATTGGACAAATTTGTTGCCAATACGCTGCCCGTGGAGGTGGAAATTTTTGAATACACAAAGAAAATTAATATCCCTTTTCGTGTGGACGTTGCCTTAATAAATACTATGTTTCCTCTATATAGCTGCATATAAGTATTGAAGACCATTAGAATTGTAACTCTTTTGAGGAAGAATCTAGGTAACTTGAGAAAGAGTTGTACAAGGCCTAAATGTAATAAACGACATGTAATAAGGTCCTAAATGTGATAACATTTTGTCCTAAATGTAATAACATTTTGTCATAAATGTAATAAACTCTTAAGCTGTAAATTACATTAATTACTCAAATAAGCGCCGCTCTCCAATAAGCGCCACATTTGGGTGGATTTAATAAGCGCCGCGGTGCTTATTCGCGTAAATACGGTGCTAAGAGGTATTACTATGGTTTTAAGCGCCGCCCTCAAATAAGCGCCGGATTTTTTGGAGAAAAAATCGATCTAATAAGCTTCGGTACATTTCCTTAGGCCCGCTGTGTAATTTGACGTTTACAAATAAATTGCTTTTAAAGGGACAAAGTAAAAAACACTTGTAAGCCTTAAAAAGTTTTTCATACTTCATTTTTGTTAAAGAAATTTACTGCAAAAACTGTGGACGAAGGTCCTGTTGCTTGTCAAACGAGAAGTCTAAGGGCCTGTTTACACGGAGGTGGGGGACCCAAGGTAGGTGAGGTAACCCGCTTTGGTGGGTAACCCGCCTCTCCACATAATCTCTCATTTTGATTTGATCACGTTTACATGATAGGTGGGGTGACCTGCCGCATGTTACCTTACCTATCTGGGGTCCCCCACGTCCATGTAAACAGGCCCTAAAGACTACTGCACAGCTGATAACAACGTTTATAAATAACTAAGAAAGTACACGCGCGCTCTGATTGGCCGAGAGATGTGTTTGCATCATAGTATGTAAACATGTGTGGAGTCAAGATGTTTTGCTCTTCTCGCGCTAAACACGCAAGCACGAATTTTAAAATGTTTTTGAGTTGAAAACTCGACAAATTTACTTTATTTACCCATTCCCTCGTCGGATGAAACTTGAAAAATCTTTACAAACACGATGTGCCAATATTTTTTGCTTAAGCTGACATTTTAAGCGAGAAAAATCCTGTTTTGAAAAGCATCTATATTGCAAAACAAGAACTGATTACAGGTACATTAAGCTTCGTCTACTGGTTAGAAGTTCTCTTTTAATCAGTAACCTAAACGAGGAGTTTTCTTTTTTCTCGGGAGAGTTATTCTATTAAAGCAATAGAGAACTGTTTTCCTGCGTTTGCGTAGCCTGATATAAACACTCGAGGGGTTGGGAGAATTCTTGACAGTTATGCAAACCCGAGACGAAGTCGAGAGTTTGCATAACTGTCCCGAATTGTCCCAGCCCCTCGAGTGTTTATATCAGGCTATACAAACTCAGGAACTAGTTTTCCAGTGGCTTAAATATTGCTTTTTTAGAAAAATACTGTAACTTTGTCGTTTGCAAGCAATTTATTTGTCGCTAAGTTTCACAGTGCATAAGAAAATACTGTAACTTTGTCGTTTGCAAGCAATTTATTTGTCGCTAAGTTTCACAGTGCATAAGGAAATATACCGGATTTAGGCGAATTAGCACCGCGGTGCTTATTAACTTTTTTCTCCAAAAATGCGGGGCTTATTTGAGAGCGGTGCTTAATACCATAGTAATACCGCTTAGTACGTATTTACACGAATAAGCGCCGCGGCGTTAATGAAGGTCCCCCCCCCCGAAATGCGGCGCTTATTTGAGGGGGCACGTGCTCGAGTAATAACTGTAATTGGCAACTTAAGAGTCTATTACATTTAGGGCAAATTGTTATTACATTTAGAACTTTATTACATTTAGGACAAAATGTTATTACACTTTAGGACTTTATTACATTTAGGGTCGTTTATTAGATTTAGGCCTTGTACAGGATTTAGATCAAAACCAAGTGAGGGACGGAGGAACTAAATAATTTTGAGATGGACCGGAAGCTCTTTTTATAATATCTGAAATATATTTGGGCTGGCTTATAATCGAGATTAAAATATCACCAACTTAACGATGAATTGACTGCCTTATTACGATGTTTTTAAATGTCCGTTCCGTGACTTAAAGCGAGAAAATTTTGGTAGGTCTTAGGCGCCTGCGCCGTTCACTTGCGGGAATAGTGGTCGTCACTACGCTAAACAAAGTTTAAGTTTTCTTTCTATGTTATGAAAGCCTATGAGAACAACAGCTACATTACGTAAATAATCCTTATTATCATTCGAAGCAAATTTTTCTTTCTTTTCATTGGCCATTTGGCCACCACCACGTGACCTGCAAATAACTGCTTACAAATAATGGTCTGCTCATGCGCAATGCCGTTCAACTGAGTTTGGTTGCAAATAATATTCCGCACATGCGTAAAGGAAGCCGTGCTTTTCTCCTTCTGGCGATCACTCTTGCGTGAAAAGGTAGATAGCTTCGCTTCCCGAGGATATTCATAAAAAAAAAACTCGGTGATCGAATGATAAAACAATTATTGAACTCGGTTATCGCAAAAAAAAAGTGATTTGTCAGTGTCTCGCAGATCAATTATTTGCCTCAGCCTTCGGCTTCGGAAAATAATTGATCTGCTCGCCACAGAAAAAAAACGATATTTGGCTCAACCTCGTCCGATAAATGTTTTAACAATTATCGGACGAGGTAATTGTTGTAATTGTTTAACAATTGTCAATTAACAATTAACAATTGTTTAAAATTAACAATTATCGCTTCAGCTCAAATAAAAAGACCCAAGTAGAACTTCGATTCAGGAACAATTCAAGCAGGAGACAGGAGATACTTATGAACATGGCTCATGAAGATTTGAACAAAGATTTCTGTGAGGACAGTTTCAAGTTTGAAAAATTGCAAGGATATCGTAAAAGTGATATAAGGAAGAGGATTTTCGTCCTTTGTTTGCACTTTCTGCCCTTTTAAAGATGATAAGAAAGACTAGTGCTTAAAGAGGTTGTCTTGTACATCAACGTCTCTGCTAGTTGGCTTAACATGTTTTTGGCTTTCGAAGGGGAAGATCAACAGCCTAGAAGTTGGTTGGGAAATTATTGAATTTAACGTTGGGGATTGTAACGAAAACTAACACAGCCCCCAGCCATTCAAATTTAAGACCAGCTTCGAGCACGTGGTACCGTGCAAAAACCACCGACGCATTGCATTACAGTGGAACCTCTATTCAGGGGACTCCCTCAGGACCAAGGCATGCAAGTGTCCCCTGAGAGGAGGTGTCCCCTAAATTTAGGTTGGGCTGGCGTTTTTTTAATAATTAACCAACAAATCAAATATTTTTATTGCAGCTCAAAAACGTAAAAACTTAAAACCCTTCAAACCTGTCATACTAACCGCGATATCACGTATTCTACAGACTACCATCAACGACTCACTTAAAAAAGCTACTTTAGTAGAGGGTCTCAATGGGGTTAACCGATAGGCGTAAAACGGTCAAAAATTTAGTCGATAGCCGTAAAAATTGAAAAATTTTAACCGTTAGCCGTAAAAAGGGTAAAAAAGAGTTAACCGTAAAAGAAATTGTTACCTAGATATGCTACTTTTAAGGACTTTAACCTCACTTATGGTTGCGTTTTTTATTTCCCGGCTAGTGTGACTCCGTACGCACGTTAGGCGAAGCGCCTTTTAGGTGTTGACCAAGACCTAGGCTCTATTTCCGCCACTCTCTCGGGGAACTAATTTTTATCCATAGCGAAAGTGTAGCTTCTTGCTGGCGATTAATATTTGCAATTTCTGGAGGTCGTGCCCTCGAAACACTAGTGAAACAACACGCGGAGATGTCACTTTTTGTAAAACACGTTGCCGATAAACAACATTTCCTTGTTTTTCTCTGACGCTACGGTAGACATTATGCCTTGTCACTGAACGGCGTCTTCCCACGCCGCTCGGTCAAGGCATTTAGGTGGCGAACTCGCTCGGACCACGTGACCCGAAACGCATTAGCTGCGCGGAAAAATGCGGCCTACGGACAAAGCAACGACAGGCAGTCGTTCCGTACAGTCCTTAACACTGGACACGGGAATTTTGTTATTGGCCGTTTTCAAACTAGAGCTAGAAATGGATCATCCGTCTGAGACTAGCCTGTGTACAGTCGCGCCCTCCCCACAGACACCCCTTCTCCGATTTTTTCTGGCATGGGGGAAGGGGGCGGCTGTACACAGGTTATCTGGAACGGATAATCCCGTCTTCAAGAGTCAGGCAGATCGTTCATTCAAAATTAAAACTATTCCATTTTCAAATTAAGACGTAATACCTATCTGACGCGAATCATCAAACGGATAACCCGTCTCACACGAATAATCCTTCTCTAGTGTGAAAACGGCCATTTCTGTTGTAATGAATGTCGCGCCCCGGCCTTGAGTTGGGCGTTTGAGTGTCTGCTTTTGCTTTTTCGCAAAGATTATTTTTAAATTGACCATTGACATTTCTATGTGTAAAATAATATTAGAAGTGGAATACTTTATAAAAAGTTGAAATGTTAAAATTTTTCAAAAGAATAGCTTATTTCATCCCGAGATGATCCGATTTAAAGATACAAAAAAATACTAAAAAATTTAACTTTTTGAAACAAAAGAAGTTAATTTTAACTTTTTCGTTAACCGTAACTGGAAAAAATTAACCGATAGCCGTAAAAGAGCCAAAATTTTAGCCGATAACCGTAAAAGCCACCACTCCATTGAGACCCTCTTAGTAACTTAGAGCAAACGCCACTTAATTGAAGTCAACAGTTACCGGCACCGTACAAAAGACTTATTGACGGACTCAAGCAAAACTAACGACGAGAGAATTTATGGGACAACCGACAAATTGACTAACAATAAACGACTGTTATACTGTGACAATGACGGATCAAAACGCACCAATAACATTACGAGTATTCACAGCCAATAACATCACGGCCACCAACTGAGGTGATAAAACTCACTTTGGCTCTGAAGATGACTAGTGCACAGGTTGTCGAAACGTCAGTCACTGTCCTATTCAGGCAGGACTACGTTCACCGGGAAGATCATATTCAGCCTACTTACGGAATAATAAAAATTATTATATGCTAGTTGCTAGCTTGCAGTAAAGCCATTTTTATAGTTTAAAAATATTCTTGTTCAAAAATGTTCCTATTCATCCACGAAACCTCTTTCAGGATTCGTTTATTAAACATTTACTAGTCCCTTTCATATCTAAGTGAATTTGAAAGTGCTACTTTTGGACAAGCCCGACAAAACTAGAGTTACAAGAACACCTCTCGGATTAAGGAAGCCACCCAGCAACAACAAATTACACAAATAACGCAAAATACTATTAGAAAAAAATGTATGTTAACTTGCATGATTAATAGGATGGACATCATTCGTACCTCGGATGGCTCTGTACGTTGCATTAAACCCTGGATACTGATTGCGTAGAGACGTGAATATGACTTGAATGGAATTTCCCACCGAGTACACTGGAGGAGGAACAGACTGACCGCAAAGCATGATTCGATCATAATGGTTATTTGTAGCAACGTTTATAATTGTAACACGCGAGGCTGTAGCATCAAAATAACAGTAGTGACTTTTCTGATATGGTCCCAGCTGAAAGTAGTGGAAAGTAAGTTCTATGATGTACCCATTGGGAACTGTGATATTCCGTGCACATCTGCTGTATTGAGTGTAGTTATTTGGAAAATTGGGGCTTGCAATGAATCCAGCTAATCCATGAAGATTTGTTCCAGAGGCACAACCTACAATAGCAGCTAAATGTTATTTGGCTTTAAGGTACGAGTTCAAAGAGAAGTCCGCGTCTAAACCTTAAACAGTACAGTTCAATTGACACTAAAAAGAAAAAAAAAACATACAATGAAACAAAAAAAAAGCAAACAAAATACGACTTAAAATATCAAAACAATATTTTGGAAGATTCAGATAAATAGAAAAAAAAACAATTTCAAAGTAATTTTGTTACCAACCATTTTAGGAACATCATATCACCAACACCTAAGTGCACAATTTATTGGCATTTGTGTGTCGATTTAGTACATAAACAATGTGTTTGACTATACTGAAGAGTTGCCTCTAGTCTAAACTAGGGCAATAATATATTTTCCTTGCATATGGAAGTTCATCACTTGATCACCTGCAGAAGCACCATCCTCCTGGAGTTACATACTTACCGGTAGTCACCGCATCATATTTCAGTTTAATGTAAGTTGCTTTAAATCCACCGTGCAACGAGGAAGTGCGACTATCAGAAACAAACGTGACTCTTAGGACATCTTTTGTCGAATAGTATACTACCCCACGGTCTTTATATCCACATCTTCGCCTGCCTGAGAGGCCATCAGAGGATGAACCATTTTGTATTTGCAGATAGTCACACGTGCAAGATGAACCACACTCCGGAATTTTTATGTCTTCAATGACCAACACAATGCGTTCTCCTTTACTTGCTGTAATTTTCCAACTACAATTTGTACTGATAGGATAAGTCCTTGGATAGTAAGGACTAGTTAGAACTCCTGATGTCTCAGTCAGAGTTGTCATATTAGAACAAACTGCAGGCAATAAAATGAACTGAACATAAGCTTTTTGAGGTGAAAAATAAGGAAACTTAAGAAGGAATAAGATGAAAACCACTTGCGGGACGGTAGGACTAAATACCTTTGGGATACGCCCGAGGCTCTTTATTTATCTGGAAAATCTTACGGCTCGCCATTAATTGAGACTGAAATGTCAGTAAGTCAACTAAGAAGTGGGCAAATTTGTTGTCAATGCGCTGCCCGTGGAGGTGGAAATTTTTGAATCCGCTGCAAAGAAAAATTTGCGAATTCAAAAATATCCCTATCCGTACGGACGTTGCCTTAATAAATACTATGTTTCCTCTATATAGCTGTATATAAGTATTGAAGACCATTAGAATTGTAACCCTTTTAAGGAAGAATCTAGGTAACGTGGGAAGGAGTTAGATCAAAAAGTGCGGGACGGGAGAACTAAATAATTTTGGGATGGACCGGAAGCTATTTTTATTTTAACATCTGAAATATCTTTGGGCTGGCTTATAATCGAGATTAAAATATCAGCAACTTAACGATGAATTGGCCGCCTTCTCATGATGTTGTCAAATGCCCGTTCCGTGACTTAAAGGGAAATTTTGGTAGGTCTTAGGCGCCTGCGCCTTTCACTTGGGGGAAGAATGGTCTTGTCGGTACGCTGCCAAGTCTAATTTTTTTTCTTTGTTATGAAGGCACATGAGAACAACAGCTACGTCAGAAAAACAATCCTCAATATGCATGGACGGACCAGTCAAAAGTTTGGCTTCAGTTCAAATAAAATGTCCCAATTCAGTAGAACTTCGATTCAGGAACAATTCAAGCAGGAGACAGGAGATACTTATGAACATGTTTCATGAAGATATGAATTCTAACAATGATTTCTGTGACGACAGTTTTCAAATTTGGAGAACTGCAAGGATATCGTAAAAGTGATATAAGGAAGAGGATTTCCGTCCTGTGTTTGTACCGTCCTGCCCTGTTAAACCTAAAACTTCTCAAACCTGTTATACCAAACACGATATTACCGTATACTCGTGCTGTTAAAACCTTAGGATGAGCCTTCGATGATGCAGGAAATGCTCTTTAACATTTTCCACCGAAAAATCCGCCTTGCATTTTAGAAACAAAACTCCCACTTAAAATTTATATCTAGTCTGACTCTGAAGAGTGCACTCTACCACCTTTTGAAATTCTACCCGATTTCTATGATTTTGGCATCCTTAATAAAGAATAGAGCAACTTTAAGAAAATGTTATTTTCTTTTCTTTTAGGTGTGAAAACGCTTGAGATATCGGATATGTTTAAAACCGCATTTTTACACAAAAAGTCAATAACTTAAAAACTCTACGACCGATTTTTCTCTAACTTTAGCAAATGAGCCTCAGAGCTCCCTAGTTTTATATCTGCGAGTTTGAAGTCAATCGTGACCGTAGAAGTCATTGCACAAAATGCTGGTCAAATTTAACCTTAAAATAGGGGTCGGAAAGGGGCTTTTCCGTGAACCGTGGTCGCCTATTTTTGATTGCAGTCAATCGTGAACGAAAGAATTTATTTCTCGTGATCAGTGCACAAAAAGTAATCCCGTAATTTGTGAAATAACTAACCGATTACTCAAGATTCGTGAACATGGTCTATAATTACCTAATTTTTCGTGAAATATTGAACGTAAACTTTCGAGGAACTTGATATACTAGGTCAAGTCAAGTTTTAGGCCGGGACACTTCCTCAACATATACACCAGCGGAGAAGGTAGTTTTCCCCACTCAACCTTTTCCAGATGATGTAGAAACTACAGCTTCTGGCATTCAGCCGCATGATCAACAGGATACTACTTCTTTTGACGTTTCCGATGACTCCGAAAAAGTGCAAGAATACCGGGCAAGAATACAACACATATTCTAATGTCAGAGAAGACCTGAGCGATGATGAAGATGCACTGATCTTTCTCCGTGGCGTCATAGTTAATTAAAGTGGAATGGTTGGGAAACCCTTTGTTATAATAGGTTTTTGTTCGCTTGTTTGGACCTGATCTAGCATAACGTACAATAGCATTCCTATCATTTTGAAGTTACTGACAAATAGAAACATTGCATTAATTTATTCAGTCATAATTTGTGAACAGAAAGCAAAGGATTGTGCACGGTCATGGAGCTTCCAACATAAACTACAGCACCGTTCTTTTCAACTTTGACGTTTGCCGGGTTTCCTAACCAGTCTCCTCTACTACCTGTGGTGGCATACAGACAAGTAGAAGTCGAATGATCAGAGTTGTCCGGCCACAAGAGTCAACAGTGTATTGTATAGTCTGTGTCATTGCCTTATGAGACCTATAAAACTACTGGCAAAGATATTGTTCTTGCCATACTCGCCACACTAAAGGATTGTAAACAATGTAGGGTAACCAGTTCTGCTTGTGTAGAGTACGGCATGCAGTTGTGAATTTTTGTAAATTTAGTACTTTAGGGCGTGGAAACAATTATTTCTTATGCATGCATAATTCTAAATAGTCGACACCTCAGTTTTGCACTACTATATGCCTGGGCGACAAATAAAATCAAACGCTGAATTTTGTGTGATTCGTGAAAAGTCTGTTTTAATTCCCGTGAACCGAGAAATTTCGATTTTAATTCCCGTTAACCGTCTACGACACCCCGCCTTTCCGACGCTCTAAAATGCAGCATTAACACATTCGTGAAAGTTGACGGACAAAGAGAGGAAGAGTGCCAACGGACTATCTTCTATCTGCAAGGGTATTCTTGCCCAATCAAACACCTACGGCGAATACAGTTCGCAATATAAGAAGAACAACTTTATGCTGAATGCGGGGCATCAAAACTACTTTGTATTTGTCTTTCTCCTTTCGAAACCAACCTTAACAAAGCAAAAAAATAGCATCTACGCCCTTGTACCTGGTAATTTATTCATTATGACAAGCTTAATTTTAGACTTGTCATCACATTCGCACGGGAAGTTTGCCACTTAGGGATAAAGATGAAGAAAAATATGACAGTCGTCTTATTCTTTTCATTATCCCCAATGGCAAACTATAGCTGCCAGTGCGAAAGTGCTAACAAATCTAACAAGCGTGAATAATTTGCCAAAGACATGGCTTTTCGTTCCAGCTGAAATAGATCGGTTGAAGTACAGGAGTTGGTGGCTTTATTTCTCCTCGCGCGATCGAGACAGGAACCTTCGGTGCTGAAAACTGGTGGGCGATTTCTGTAGATGCTATATTTTGTTTCGTTGAGATTTTTTTTCGAAAAAAGAAGGGCAAAACCACAATACCTTTGATAAATAGAAGTTCGTTAATCTTGCCCCGCATTCAAAATAAAGTTGTTCTTCTTGTATTACGAACTGTATTCCGTATGTAGCAGGGCCAAGTTGGCGTCAAGGTTTGAAAATGGTATGAATAAAGATGTCGGAGTATTAAAAGACGCTTTAGAAAACTTAAAGAACAAAGGAAGAAGGATTTTAACAGCTATTATCTCGGCAAATTCAGAAAATTGTAAACGTAAGCCAAAATTTACGAGGACTAAACCTTAGTTTCGGTGCGTGGATTTCTCGACTCGTATCGCATCGGATCCGCTTAACAAATGAAAAAACCCACGATTTTTAGCATAATTTGTCAACCATGATATCAGTACGTGATCAGATGGTGAAATGATTTCACTCGTCACCATTTGATTACACATGCATAATTCGAAGTGGAACACTTGTGCTTGGACCGACGACCACTACTTGGCATAGACTTGGCCACAACTTGGCTTGGTTTCTGTCGAAAAGTGGGTAGTTTGAAACAAGTAGAGAATTACTTCTTCCTATGAGCAAAGCGGAGCGAACGGGGCCACACTTCGTGCAAAAGGCAAGACGAGAGTGCCTGCTGTTCGGGGACACCCTATCTTCCAAATGACGAGGCAAAGCGTCTCCCAAATACAACCATAGTTATTAGAGGAGACTGGTTATGAAAAGCGGCAAACATCACTGATAAAAACAACCGTGCTGCAGTTTATGTTCAAAGCACCGTGAAAGTGCACAATCCTTTGTTTTCTGTTGGCAAATTGTTACGGAATAAATTAATGCAACGTTTTTATTGGTCAATACAATCAAAATGATAGGAATTCTTTTGAACGTTGTGCACTTTCAGGTCCACAAAAACATATAACAAAGGAGTCTGACGGGTTTCATAACCATTCCACTCAATTAACTATGATACAACCTATTTTATTTCATTTTCTTATACTACTACATGAGAAATTTCTGCAATTTGATTGGCTTAGAGCAGTGGTATTTCAGCTTAATTTGAAATACCTGCATGCGAAAATTACAAACCTTTAGCGGGTAGTAGTATAAACAAATAATAGCATGATTTGTACGTGATATTTGGCATAAATACCACTCGTGATATTTCGAAATTGTCTCAAATTTCACTCGCCTGACGGCTCGTGAAATTACGTATAACAATTTCGAAATGTCACTCGTGGTATTTATGCCAAATATCACTACAAATCGTGCTATTACCTATACTAACCATACGAAACACAGAACTTTTACTTATCATAATTGCCTTTTAATCGTACAATTTCCCAGGTAAAATTTCAAAAAATTGGAATGATCTTCCTATAAGTACATGTGTAAAAAGCCACTATTCATAATAATCGAGCACTCTCCCTCGTAATATTCATAGTCACACCGACTCTCGTAATTTCTGTATTCCTTGTGTGTTTTCACGCTTCGCTCCTTTTTTTTTATTTTTTCTTTTCTCTGTTCTTCCTAAAAAAAAAAGCTTTATGTAATTAAAAGGGCATATAATAGGCGATTTCCGAGTTCCACAGTTACGCTCAACTTCAAAGCGAGACTAAGTGCAAAACCTTTCTTATAAAAATAAGTTTTACTTACATGAGAACATATAATCATATTCCAAATCAATTGCTTCGCACTTAGCCTCGCTTTGAAACAGAGGCATGGGGTAACTTGCATATGGCCTATTAGTTATAATATATATTGCCTTTCTCCATTTATCTTGTAATTGGTATCACGTTTTTATGACTACTGCGCATGCGCCAGTGTCACTGTTGGCATCGAGTTAGTTTTCCGAAAGTAAGTAACAATAGAATATAATTCGGAGCTAATCAGCATACAAAGATAACCAATTTTCGGAATCGTTTGTCGCGAGGTTGATTTTTCGATAGCTCTCCATGACAAATGAAATGCTCGGCTGCCTCGAGGCTCGTGAGACAAGTTGCGCTTATTCAAGTTGAAAAAATGTTGCCGTATAACCGAATGAAAACGCAGTGAAGTACATCACTTCTCAAGGAGGTATCTTCACTTCTTATGTTCAAAACCACGATTTTTGTATAATAGATTTCTTCGCTCCAAATCAACTCCTGTGAAAACATTGCGTAATGAAATTTTGGAGTAGGCCTTCGGTCAAGTGCTGGGTATCGGAATAGTATCAGGCTTCACCAAGGATGTTCATTTTCTACAAGCAACAAGACGCCTAAAGTCGTTTCCGTGGGATGCATTGGTCTATGGAAGCATAATGGCGTTCTATCTGAATTTGGAAAAATTAGGGAAACCGTTCGATAAAGTTCCAATGTTTTAATCCAAGATGAAAGTTTAATATTCCAAGATGCTCTTGATACGGTTAAAAATTAATTGCAATGTGTTTCCAAGGTCTCAAAGTTAACATAGTTCCAATTTTTATCCCTGATTTCAAGGTATAATAAGTTTACTAAGGTCCTGATCCGTGTCCCATCCAGAAGTCCAATCCATGCCGAAAGCGAGTCGTCGATCGACGAGGACAATATTTTCGCGATTTCACCGCCAATCGTCAAGGGTACGAGTTGAAATTTACGCAGTTTAACCTCCCATCGTCAAGGTGTTTTCGATAAGAAAAGAAAAAAACTGAACTCTTGCTCTGCTCGGCAAAAACTGGCGAACTCCGAATAGAAAAATCTATCGGAAATCACGGCCCGCAACCAGACGCTACTAAAACCTTATGAAAAATCTAGACCTAAACAAAAAAGAATCATGAAGGGAAGAAAAAAATTGGCTTAGGTCGCCTTTCGTGACTTGCCAGTATCCCGAAGGATTTCGCTGGTTAACAAGGCACCCTAAACCACGAGTGGGAAAACTCAAGGGCGACAAATTTGGCAAGGAACGTTCTGATTTCAACGTTCTTCCGGAGGAAGCAAATCGATCAAAAATCGATACAGATTTTGTACAATCTGATTGGTCGGCTTGGAAGAAGAGATAATCGATAAAGATTTTAGGCAATCCTATTGGCTGGCTTTGCAATTCGTTCGTACAATGAAACGTTCGGAAACGTTCTCCAGATGAAGCAAGTCGATCAAAAATCGATAAAGGTTTTGTACAATTCCATTGGTCGACTTAGAAGAAGAAACAATCGATAAAGATTTTACGCAATCCTATTGGCTGGCTTTGCAATTTTGGGTACAACCGAACCGGATTTTTACCGTGGGAGTGCCAGCCGATAGCCTTGTTCCGTGGGATGCCTGTACAACGCAAATGACACGCAATTCACAACACACGTAGTAAGGAAACAGGATATTTTTCGAGTTTTTGTTCTTTAAAAATTGTCAGTTAAATGATGTTTCTGATCGACTTCCAAGCGCGATCAGGGTAATTTCTGATGTTCCTGAAAATGATTTCTCAGGTCTTGTAATGTCACGAAAGATAAAAAGTCATCGGAAAATCTTCAACCGAACCTGAAAGAACTGAAAAGCTTGTCGGTTTTCGGCCAGATATTTATTTCACAGGGACCAGCTAATAATGTGATAGTATCGAACCTTGAAAATGTATAATCTAATGCAATTTGAGGCTGCAAGACAGTAAAACATGCTTTAACTTCATTGTAACTGCCGTGATTGGCTACTTTGTTCGTTGTTGTTGTCGTTGTTGTTGTTGTTTTTTTCTCGTTCAAAGTATATTATTTTCCAATATTGCTTGTAAAGGCTTAATTTATATCGTTTCCAAGTAATGAAAACAACTATACTTTAAATTTCGGTCCATCCGAACTAGGCACCAGTTTGATCGACGACGCAATTTGATATCTAATCAATATGCTGATTCTCCTCAGGGTCGTCACGAAGCGCTCCTCCCCAGGATTGTGTGACAATCCCGCGTTGACCTAAAATTTGCTATCATTTCAGTGTATCGTCCAGCAAAAGAAAAAATGGAAACATTGTCATTATTTGACAAATTGCAAGCATTCATGGCAAACTTTGCAAATGCGTTACGAATCATTGAGAAACGATACAATGCATTTTAAAGAATTCAAATGTGTTGAATGATGCAAAATACATGTATGGGGCTGTGCGAATATCCACATAAGGATATGGCTTATGTAGCACCGTTCTACCATTGTCATTTTACTCTTCAGCAGTAGTCACATGCGCTTCTCAAGCGCGTATTTTTTAGTTATTGTAACATAAAAGAAAAAAATCAAATACAATTAAAAACAAAGAGAATGGCTGCGCTCGAGCTGATTTGGGATTATGAAAAATAGAAGAAGTCTTTTTTTTCTCCACCTCGCGGAATTCCAGGCAGTTCGCAGACTCAACACTCGCCACTCGGTGGTTTTTGTTTTGTTTTGTTTCGTTTTGTTAGTTGGTTGGTTGGTTGTTGTTGTTGTTGTTGTTGTTGTTGTTTTTTTGGCCTCCTACTCGCAGCCATAGAAGTTAGGGCCTTGAACAGCATAAAGGCTCTACCTATACAGGAGAGTGCACTATGCAGATGTAAATAAGCTTCAGCTTGCCATAGTAAATATTTGACGTATGGGTGCGGCGAATATCTTGTCTCGGCCAAAGAACAAGAGTATCGGTATCGGAATGTCCTTTACAATATTAACGCATACCTACCAGCAGATTGAGCACTTAATCCCACAATCATAGCGACTGAAATACAACACAAGTATAGTTGTCTTAGTTTTAACTCTCGGACGTACATATGCATGCAAATCCATATCCCCATTGGGGTATGAAGCAGGGGGTATTTTTAAAATCGCCTTCTTGCTTGGAAGGCGCTTGGAAGTAGTGGGAGAAACAAAAAACGGGCGCGCGCCCGTTCTTTCTTGCTGCCCTCTTACCTAAGTGATGACACTTTGCGACATTAAAAATTAAATAACATGTGTTGGGTATTAACTACAGTAATGGCCATACCGCAGAGTTAGTAAGTGTGCTTCGTGTTCTCAGAATTTAAAAGGCAGGTGGTCTAATGTAAAGTATTTTCTAACGATGGCACGCATAATAATTTAAGGACAATCACAATCAAGAAATCTTCCAATTTCTATTTATGCATCACGTGACCAGACACGCCCTGGTTTGTAGAGAAATCCTTTGAGTGGAAATTCATAAAGATCAACAAACAGTCTTCCTTTTGTGGGTCCAGTCAGTGGCTACAGATAGTCTTCTTGTAAAAATAGTCGGAATGAGACAATGTCAATAAATGTCTAGTCTGCTACACAGCCGTTTTCAGTGTCGTCACGCAACGCTCCTCCCCACAAACGGCTGCTGAGAATCGAACCACATTCCTTTCCCTTTGTGTTTGTGGTCTTACGAACAAACCAATCATGTTTAAGAAACTTGACAATACGTAAGCTGCGGGGCGCTAGGAAGCGAACACACTTGTCAATTTTCGACAAATCTATCAATCGTCGCTGAATTTGGACGGGCTCTTTGCCCTGTGTTAATTTGGAGAAAAGTTTGTTTTAAGCGATTAACAAATTTCCAAGTGAAAAAAAAAGGTTTGATAGGTCTACAAGACTCTTACCAGGATCAGATGGCTCTTTTTAACGTGCATATGTATGACGAATATTATGTGCCGGATGTGCTCATTGTGTTGCTGTAAATGCGAAGACTAAACTCTCAAGTGTACTGATTCAAACACTTTAAGCATTCTTATAAATTATCGATGAGCGATTTCTCAAAACCGTACCTGGCAACTTTGTAAGCACATCCATCTTGTGCACAACATAGACCACATTTGCTCGACTTGCTTGCCGGTGCTGCTTATCTCATAAATTTTGAATAGGACCCGACAACAACAACAAAACACTACTCTAGTTGATTGCTTGTTTTCACGCGACGATTTTGATTGTTCTATCATTCACATATGAGGCACAGACAAAATCAAAGCTGTGATTAGGGGAGTCACCATACCGCACATGAGGCGCGAGCACCTTCCAGGAAATGGGAGCTGAATTCTAATTGGCTAACCGCGGGAAAGGAATGTGGTTCGATTCTCAGCAGCCGTTTGTGGGGAGGAACGTTGCGAGACGACACTAAAAACGGATGTGTAGCAGACTAAAAAACGTCTCTCCCATGACGAAAGTTTCAGTTAGAGGAGGATTGGCACTAGTCAACGATTACCAATTACACCCGCCAATTGTAACACTTCGAACCATTTCGAGCTGATTTCGTAGACACTTTGTAGGGTCAATGTTTTGACACAGAGAAACTGGAGCTACACGTTTGGCAAATGGTGGGAATTGTTGGTTACATCTTTTGAATAATAGAGGGCGTGGTCAAACACATGACCAACTATTTGGGATATCTTTTTTTCAAGTTTTTTTAGTTGAGTGTACTTTTTAATTAATTTTTTTTAATTATAGATATATCTACAATTCCTCGGGGATGTCTTTAACAACGGGTTTTGGAAAATGTACATAAAAACCATTAATTACTTAGACCCAGGCTTTAATCTTCTAGAGCGGTACAAACGGTACTTATCTACAAGTATTTGTTGTCGACAACTTTAAAGCAGTTTCTTTAGTTGTCGACAACTTAAGAGTAAACGTTTTAATTAGTTGTCGACAAGTCGCCTCACACACTGCGTTTTTTTAGTTGTCGATAACTTTTAGTTTCCGACAACTAAATGCCTAGTCTGTGGAGGACCTAAGATTATCTCTTGTTACGTCGCTTTTGCCTCTTTCCATAAATATCAAGGTTCTTTGGCAGATTCGTGACCGAGACGTTTTCACAACCTGAGAACCACTAAGAATTAAGTCATGATCCCGCTCAGTCTGTCACGTAACGAAGGGATATAGGGTCCCTTCCTCCGGCGTTCCCTGACAAAGAGAAATGGAAACGCTCTAGGCCTTGTGGCTCACCTTCGGTCAACCAGAACGTGACCGGAAAGATAATTTGTGACAAGTTCCAATGGGGTAAAATTTACAAAGCGATAGTTGTGGGTTTGTATACTTTGGACCATTGACCTTGATTTTCAGCTTGTCGGGGTGTAATACTTACAAAAGATCTGGACAAAAAAGACAAGTTGACCTGTTCCTTCCATTTCCAACCAATCAATCTATCAGTAACAAAAGCAAAAATGTTACCATAATGCTTAGTTTTGAAATTTTTTTACTTTGTATATATGAAATCGAGGTTTCAACATCTCTTCCCTTGGTACCCCCTGGCATTTTTTTTTTTAGAAAAATTAGTGTTCAAATTTCTCTACTCCCCGAACCAAAAAGGGCATGTGATAAATATGGACTGGACTGGATTGGTAAAACATGGATTAATAAAACGAGGAGTGATATAACAAGGATTTATGACCAAGTAAGAAAAGGATTTTTTTCCTAGGTTTCATAGGATCTGAATATGACAAACATGACTTAGTTACAGTGATGTTCCAGTAGTTCCTGCTTTCTGTCACGCAGTATTTCCAGTCGGAAATGAAATTAAATGGGGCTAGTTATATTTTACATTACTTTTTCCCAAAAGGGTCACTTTTGTTTGCCAACAACAAAAGTATTTCGCGTAAAATAGACAGTTTCATTAATCATTCAAACTGTCAAAATTGATGTTGTCTTTTGACCAGTGCCGACGAAGTATCGCGCGCGCGCGAGAGAGAGAGAGACAGTGACAGGAGGGAGGCAGATTTGATTAACATCAAGCAATAACAATGGGGTAAGCAGGGAATGAAAAAGCGATCAGTCGTTAAACATGTTGTTGCATTGTTGCAAGGCTATTCATATGTCCTGGAATCCCAAAAGATCTGGTATTTCTCCATTTCCCTTCTATCCCATAGCAATGCGCATGACGAAGGAGTGACAAGCAAAAACTATAGCCAACCAGTCGCCGAGATATGCCGAGGCCTTCCGAAAACGCGTGGAACACGTCGGAAGAAGATAAAACGCTCCGTATTCACATTTGCATAACAGTCAGTTAACGAACAAAATGTAGATGCTCATGACAAGGATGCACACGGAACGAGGAAAGCAAAATTTGTTCAGCATCGGTTACTCCCTGTTATGAAATTTCCACGAGAGATGAACCACGCTTTCAAAGCAAAACTCAGTGACAGATGTTTTTTGTTGGTTTGCGTGAACAATTTGCTGTGATACACATTCACAGAAGAAATTCTGAACCGTGTTTTCAGAAACATATAATTATTTACAATGAACAACCAATCGTACACTGGACCAATGGTCTAAATTTCGTACTCTTTATTTGTGCTATCCGGTTCGGTATCCTTCGAAACCAATAGTCACAAATGTATCAATGTGACTTCACTTGGAGTAAACACTGAGTAAATACTCATTTCTATCAAGGGAAGGAAGAAGCTCTGTCACTGAAGACTTACGTTGCATCAAGGCGATAACGTATTGTGGCTGGGCTTCTCCAAAAGTTCAAAGATTGAACTTTTCCATTAATTTGGTGCAGAATATGTGTAGAATTTTTCTTCTGCACTTTACTTTATGATGTTAAATGTGGTTGGATCTGTTTGGTAGGTGCAGAGTGTGGGTAGAAATATTCTTTTGCATTTTACTAAAGGGCTGTCCACACTTGTTGCCCGGGAACCAGCACAAACTGGTACCGGTGTTGTGGTAATACCTTGAGAACCCGCTATATAACTGTGTACATATAGTTACTCCATTTCGTCCTGTCAGACGCAATTTTGAGCAGCGAGTACAAAACAGTGGACTGCCCCAGAAGTAACCAAAACGGTGTGCACACAGGGACCAGGTGCGATAATTTGTGCCCGAGTACAAGGTCTCGTCTTTATACTCGGGCACCGATACCGTTTCCGAATTCTAGCGTGGGTACTTAAAAAAAGGGTGTGTTCACATTAGTACCCAGCAAGTACCGAACTCGGGGGCACCGTTCCCTGGTACCAAGTGTGAACGATGCCTAACTGATGCAGCCTATATAGACAAAAACTTACACCTGCATTTTCCCGAAGACGCAGGACTTGGGCATAAAATGTTTGCGAGCACTTTACTTTACGTTTGCAGAATATAAAATATCTGTCTGCATTTTCCTCAGAGATGCAGAGTGTGGGTGGAAAATTCCACGTCAGCTTTTTACTTACTAAAGCATGATACAGGCGGAAATTTCCGTCTGCATTTTCCTCAAAAATGCAGTATGTGGCTAGAAAGTTTCATCGGCATTGTACTAACTGTTGGAGAATATGAGTAGAACAATATGTGAACATTTTCCTGATTACAGATGCACAATGTTTGCAAAAAAAAATTCCGGCAGCATCTTCCATATTGATGCAGAATATCGACGGGAATGCTACGTCCGTTTGCTCACCGATGCAAAATGTGGGCGCGGATTACCGCAGCACTTGTGGAGTTATATATCAAGCATGAGACGCAGTGCTTCATCACCAGATGAAACACCGAGAAGAGAGTTGACAATACCACGCGCAGCGGAGTGTTTCTGACGCTCTTCGATGTGTTTCATCTGGTGATGAAACACTAGGTCGAATGCTTGATATTATTTCTCAGACAAAATGATTTTAGAAGGAAAAAGTAAGGATACAAAAATGTGCAGTTTTTTTATCTGATTTCCAAACAGTCATTAAGGTGGCTCGACTTGGGGTTGATACCTCCCCAGTTTGAGCATCAACTACGTCGGCATGAGTAAAGATATGGAAAAAAGGTTACCAAAGCTGTATTATATAAAGATGAAAATTTCTTATGATCTGGGTTTTATTGTAATCAGAGTCGCCATGGCAACGTAATGACGCCATTACGTTTTTCATTTATCTTTGTGTTTCTCAGTACCAAGAGTTTTTTGAAGAAATCGCTTAAGGGAGTATGTACCTGCCATAATTGCCTCCATTATGGCAAAGTTTAAACAAATTCTGCAAAAACTGCATACAAAAAGAGAGGGGAATTGCTCTGGGCGATCGCGAGTAAGAAGAATTTTATTAACTTGCATTCAACTGCTTTTGATACAGTTTTTGGACGTTATTTGGTCCATGCCTAAAAATGTCGCATTTTTCCAAAAACCGCTCGATAAATTTTTTTATAAATTCGACAATCCCGCGATCAATTGGCAAGAAATATCCCCTGCAAGTTTCAAGAACATTGAAAACAAGGAAGGCTTTTAAATAGGGCCTCAAATATAGCCAATTTTTCCCCCAGATTTTGTGTTTACAAGTGAGCGTCCTCATTATTCACTGGCATTGTTTTCAAGTTTCATATGCACGTGCACAACCAGCAAAAGATATAAATTTGCATCAAAAAGAACTCTCGATTACTTTCCGAAGAAATATGCGGAATATGCAAATAATTGGCTTGTCGTCATAGATAGCAGTTAGAGCCGAAAAGGTGAACATCACGGTTCATCGTGTAGGATGCAATACTTAATTATCTTACTCGGGTTATAACATCACAGAAACTCTCACAGAGAGTTGCTCTGATGTTATAATGTATCACTAAACTCTTTACCCGGTAATTAGCATATCCCGGAGATTTAACCGAGGGTCCTTTTTTATGCGAATTCTATCTTTTTGCTAAATGTGCACGTGTATACACCTAATTGCAATAACGTTGTCATAGAAAAAAGCAAAAAGCAAAAAGCAGAAAGTCAAATAGGAATTAATTAGCCATGTGATTTACATTTGAGTATTTTAATAATTTAACAATTATTTAAGAAGTCATTCACAATAACAAGAAATAATTCTGTAATTCCGCGCTGTAAGATCCCGCACATGAAACACTGATGTGTGTAACAAAAGGGTCCTGATAAACGAGGCTTGGTTTGTGGCGCGGGAGAGGAACTGGCGGAGGAACGCCTCACCCTCTCCGCGATGGAAAGTCCTGCCTACACCTCTGATTTGTTACTTGAAAATTGTGATCTGATGGTGTTGTGCACTACAAACCATACGCAGACTGGCTTTTCTATTTAGCATTAAACGAAAAGACGCGTCGCGTTCCTGGAATTTACCCCAGGCTATATTTATTGAAAAAAAATGGAGCCATTTTTTCTTTAGTAGTTATCCGATGTACGTTTGTAATTAGAGCACGTTTGAAATCCGCTAGATGAATCAGCCTCGAATTGCATTAGAATGACACCAAGAAACTCATGCAAATAATTTGGCTTTCATATTACGTGATTACTATTCAGCTATAAGCGTGTGTGTTGTGAATGTTGCTGGCAATGATGATTTAATGCTAATTAATTCCTATTTGGCTTTTTGCTTTTTTCTATGACAACCTCATTGCAATTAGGTGTATGAAACTTGAAAACAATGCCAGTGAATAATGGGGAGGCTCACTTGTAAGCACAAAATCTGGGGGAAAAATTGGCTATATTTGAGGCCCTATTTAAAAGCCTTCCCTGTTTTCAATGTTCTTGAAACTGGAAGGGAATATTTCTTGACGATTGATCTCGGGATTGCGAATTTATAAAAAAATTTATCGAGCGGTTTTTGGAAAAATGCGAAATTTTTAGGCATGGACCAAATAACGTCCAAAAACTGTATCAAAAGCAGTTGAATGCAAGTTAATAAAATTCTTCTTACTCGCGATCGCCCAGAGCAATTCCCCTCTTTTTTTGTATGCAGTTTTCAATGGAATCAAACCACTATGAGATGAAGCCGCGTTCCCAAAACTTATCATTTTCTTAAAATATCAGCGAATTGTGTGGCTAGCATGCTATTTCACTGTTTTTATGATTCTTAAAACTGCATTTCAAAATATTTCGAAAACGCTCTCAGAATTTGGTCAAACTTTGCCATAATGGAGGCAATTATGGCAGGTACATACTCCGTTAAGCGATTTCTTCAAAAAACTCTTGGTACTGAGAAACACAAAGATAAATGAAAAACGTAATGGCGTCGTTACGTTGCCATGGCGACTCCGATTACAATAAAACCCAGATCATAAGAAATTTTCATCTTTATATAATACAGCTGTGGTAACCTTTTTTCCATATCTTTACTCATCCCGACGTAGTTAATGCTCAAACTGGGGAGGTATCAACCCCAAAAAATCCAGTCGAGCCACCCTAAACATTTATCGCCTTTGTATTTTGTTTATGAATTATTCATAAGTTTGAGAAGT